AAGTCATTGCCCATAGTTATTCACAACTTAATATTTCGTATTATAAAGTCAAATTAATGATTACTCAAAATTTTCTGTATGCTGCCTTATCCAGTTAGCCTATGTCAAAATGGTTATAAAATGTTTAAACAGCACCTGTTGTTACAAATTGTGAACCGTCTTTAATAATTACATGCATGATAATATTTAATAAATAATTACATGAATGATAATATTTAGTAAATCCGGGTGTGAATACTGTACATATAGGTTACTTTAGTTTGTTTCCATCTAATTCAGTGAGGTGGTAAACATGCAATTTTGCCGATAAGGAAAACATGCGTCATATATCTTGCACACTCTTTACACTTTATAAATTTATCAAAGAAATAAATTGATTTCATACTGACATGCACAGCTTACCTTTAGCGAAAATACTCCCAGGAACGGTGAAACACTTTTAGCTGCTGTCACATTTAACGAATTACGGAGAAGATAAACTAGAAATCTGCTGACAGCATTGATATTTATAGCATCTACGGATGAAGTTTTGTATAGTTACGAAATAAAGTATATTTGGATAAAAATGTTATGTTCCTGGCGTGGGAAGTCACCTGCAAGGCTTCCTATCTTTCAAGTATGAAAACAAAAAGGCTTAGTAACTAGGCTTCAGTCCACCCAGATCTCCTGCATTCCTAAACATTGCTTAACTAAGACTCTCTTTCAGATATATGCTTTCCGCTGTTGAAAGAAATAACTGTCGCTTAGGCGCTTCAAGTATTGCCATTTTCGCATCATGCAAATATTTCTATAGAAATTCGAGTCGATCTTTCCATTACTATCCTTCATTTTATGTACAGCATGCATGCATGTATGTAGCTACAGTGTTATATGCAATACGTCTTATTGAAAATAAATGATCGATGTAACTTTTCAAATTGGCTATATGACAATATGATAATATGGATAATTATTTCTTAAGGCATTAATACATAATGCAGAATCAGACGAGGAAGAATAAATTTCGCGTATCATTTATACATATATATACTCATTTCCATGAACTTTGAGAATTTCAGTGTCAAAAGTTTGATAAAAGAATCTTAATCGTGTATATACTGATATGAAAGGAAGTGTTATTATTATACAATAATATAACCTTTCACACAAAATTTACTTCCACTGGTGATCACTGCATGGATATAGTTCTCATAGAAGACCTCAGACAGCTCTTATGATAGCAATATATCAATCAATATGCATTTATTATACTGCAGGAAATTAAAACTCGACGAGAAATATCAGACAGAAGACACTTGAAGACTGATAGGTCGAGCTTTTTTCGTTCTTTCTGGTTTTTCTAGCAATTTTTTGAAGGGCTATATTTTGGTCCACAAAGAAAGACTTTTTCAGTCTTATACTCCTATTATATTCTTGGCATTGAATAGATATGTGAATATCTGCCAGTTCCACTTAAATCAACCAAGAGAGAATGCACGCATACATGATTTTGAAAAAATATAAATGTAATATAAGAATATCCTGCTAGAATAATATAATCTCATAAAATTGGTAATTTGTACTACAACTGAGAATCAAGAATATAAAACAATATTGCTCATGAAGTAACTTACCATTCAAATTTTCCAACTAATCAAAAATATTCTTAAAAGAGCGTTTTTCAACCTAATTTCACATAAATATGGTATAGCTATAACGTAAACTCGAATCCTCCATGATTATTGTTTGTTGCATGAGGACGGTTGAACGTATTCAAACACTATTGTGAGTCTTCAATGGTTCAACCTGTATTATTTGTAATTTCTGTCTGATAATTTCCTGTCACAGTCTGATACAATTTCTTTGAAAATCTTTGAAATCAATATATTCATAGCTACCATAGGAGTTTCTCACAAATCTTATATTCTATCTTCAATACCTATAATTTGGTTAACTTACACTAGTCTAGCCTTTTTTGCACAATTAAGACTAAATATAAGCCCCGTATGAATGAAAATATACATCAATATTTGGACGTTTAAAGTATTTGAAAAGCTTACTTCATAAATTTAAATATTTTGGATAGCCAATCAAATTTGCTGTATCACGATACTATGTAATATCATTCAAGATGCCGAAAACTTGTTTCCGATGCGACACGACTTCTTGTGATGCATTTGCTAAGTAATGCTTTAAAAATAAGACGTCGTGTTATTTTTATGTTAAAAATATGAATAAAAAGTATTTATTCAGACAAGAAATCCTTTTTTTGATGTTTTTGTGCATTTTTTTCACCCGGTGCAATTTTTAGTACTCTGACCACAGAATACCTATCAGAAGTAGAACTCCTACTTTTTTCGTAAGTGTGATTCGTCATGATTCGTCACTTAGCAAGTGCATTTTTTTGAGGTACTCACCCCCCTCCTAATACTAAAAATGGCCTGATTTTAGACATTGGCAGGGGGGTGATTACCTCAAAAAAATGCACTTGCTAAGTGACGAATCATGACGAATCACACTTACGAAAAAAATAGTATAGAGTTCATTCTTCTTATAGGTATTCTGTGCTCTGACTCTCCGAAGGTCGTCAGCATGCATTTACGGTACACCTCGTAAAAAACAACGATACCAAAATGTAAGATATTCGCGTACCTCCCCTAAGTTTGACTGAGTTATTTGTTATATATAGGCTCTTCTTAAGCCAAGGATGTTCAGTATTAATCACAAATTTCCTGCGCCAATAAACCAGCAGAACCTCGCGCGTGGTGTCCTTAAATACTTTATTGTCCGCTTCGTTCGCTTGTATCTTCATTCTTTTTGGCCCCTCTTTAAGTGCCCGCGGCAAATTGCCTCCTTCTTGGAGGATTTAATTGCGAGGATTAAAAAAGTGTAATTACTTAATTTTAACTGATGATGAAACTATCTTTTTTGTCGTTTTAAGTGTGTTTAATTGGCAAGGAAAATGATGATAATACGATGCATGAATAATATTATAATTTTTAAAGAAAGATTTTTTTATTTGTGACACCACAATGGCATTCCTAAAATGTAACTTAACCAGTCCTGATGTACATAATAAATAAGTGCAAATGCACTTTATATTTACAACTGCTTTTGGAATGTATGACTGCATAGCTTCATCATTTTTTGACGTGCCGATGTTTCTATAGAGCTCTCCTACCTTACCGACATACCATTGCTTCCAACCTTAAGTGAATTTCTCAAACACTGTGTTTACTAAATTGCTTCTCTTCTATTTATAATCACAGTAATTTACTGCCGCGTGGATGCCCACTTATTCATATGTATTTCCTTGACCCTTTCATATCGAAATCAAATTTATATATATATATATATATATATATATATATATATATATATATATATATATATATATATATATATATATATATATATATAAAACCTTGCATATTTATACATTATCCACGTCTTATTTACGACTCTATTCTTGCCACCAGCGTGCACACCCCTATTACATACCCTCATTGCCCTTTTTTTTTGTTCTTTTGAAGTTCTTAATTAGACCTCAATATACTGTTATACCTTTTCAAAGTTCTGAATTAGACCTCAATATATTGTTACTTAGCAAGACGTTACTTATTTTCAGATTTTAAGCTCGGTTGGAAGGGCAAAGTATACCGCGTGTTTACTCAAACAAGCCGCCGATGCGATAGAAATACGACTACGATGATTACATCCAAGAACCACACCAGTATAGCGTATACATTCCTGACCCACTGTCACTGTGCATGGAATATGATAACAACTGGTGAACGGATATCATTGATTGGGCGCAAAGACATGAACAGTTGTTTTTATAGACCAAAGTAGATTATACCTGCCTTGATGAAATTATATTTAAAAACCCGTTTCCCATTTGTGACGTATTTCAATCAACAAGCGCACACACACGACTCACACGACCGGCCTGAAAACGAATTGGAGCCCAATAACTATAATATGGAAATAATTTCTCAACTGTTGCGCAGCCTCAAAGGTCTCCCAAAGACTATTTTGCTTACAGTTATTTACCATTGCACAGATCATCTACCCCCCTCCCCCCCTCTTTGTGCCCTAGATTTCTTGTGCCTTCTCTCTACCCCGACAACCTATTCCTGGGATCCACTAAAACGGGATTTTTTAACCCACACAAATATTTCACACTTTTGCAAAGTTAGAGACTAAAGTCGACCTATTCGAAAAAGAGTAAGAGGCCTGTGGCGCGAGTACACGAAAGCGAGACTAGTCGGATTTTCATTTTCGCAAACTTCAAAATCATGCTTACTTTCACCTTTCTGCTGGACATGTCGGAAGCTACAAATTTATTGCATCGCTCAAATGAAGGTAGGCCTAATAACCTACAATCAAGGCAAAAATTATATGGACAACTATAGGAGAACTAAAATATTAATATTCTTATGCAAACCTTGGCATGTTTTGAACCCCCGCAACCCCGTACAATGTTGACTTTGATAATGCACTTCACAAACCTAAACCTTAACTATTGTATTAACCTTTCAACATTGAAAAGGGGAGCGGGGGGGATCCTCTCAAAACGCTTCTCAATCCTGTCGTTGCTAATATTGCATTAAGTCAGAAACTCAGAATATTCAAACTAGCTTCGTATTGAATATATTACACGCTTAGTTCTAGCATGTGTAATTAAGGCGATGATCTCCATTACGACTGTTTCGACCGCGCTGGTAAAGCACGATTTGTTTTTCTGGCCCTTCACAGCCGCATGAGCAGACTTTCATAGGCTTTCAAGATTTTCGAATGTAATGGCAAACAGCATTTAATATATATTATAAAATGAATGAAGTTAGAGTTGTAATTCTGGGCAAGGATTTCGGACGTTATACACTTCACAAAGTTATAGTTGCATAGTCTTTAGGTATGGGTATATTCGAAATTCGCAAATTTCAATCGTAAGGAGGCAGCAAGTGACTAAAAAAATGCACTCAGTGTAAAAGTAAAATATATATATGTATTTTCCCTCAATTATTTATATCCTAAATTGTTTCGCTTTAGTTCTTTTAAAATAGTTTTAAAAAATCTACGAGTCAACTCCAAAGGCGTGGTGAACGAGACAGGCCAAAGATCAAGGGATGTAATTATGTTGATAAAAAATCAATGCCAAACTTTTTCGCCTAAATGACTCATAGAATGCGACAGTAATGCAACTTTGAGCAAGTGATAAAGGCTTTCCCAATGGTTGGTGGCCAATTTTCAAATCATAGGCCTAGATTTAGATCCCTGGAATCAGCCAAATCTGCGCATGATCAATCAGCATGACTAACCCACTAAATATTCGTGGCAATAATTTAGTTTTTTGGAACTGTGGCGAATTTACTTTTACTGACGAATTTTCATTCTCCTATTTTAGACCGATAATAGAGCATTTTCGTAAATTCTAACGTGGTGAATTACTGTAGGGTGTCACATCCTCTTACGGCCCTACCGTCGCCACGCCCCTACTTAACACAGTTTTGTCTTTTTGAGTCTGCTCAAAGATGACTCGTCGTCGTTAAATAATTATTAACGAAAAAGTAAAAAAATAATAGCAACAACAATCAGCCACATGTAAACACAAATATTATTATATACTCATGCGATGGTATAAAATACGTAGAATCATCCTGAAGTGTCTTCATAATTTTCACTAGAATTTCAAAAATATATAGGGCCACGTAGAGTGCTTCTGAATTCTGGCATCTGAACTTTGAATTTCCCTTGGATCCTGTTTGAAACCATTCCTTGCACGTGCGTGATGACGTCGACCAAATGTCTAGGATTTCGATTTCTTCTTCCTTCACTCCCGTATTCCTCACAAAGGGCCCTAGTTAATTCATCAATATACCACGAACCACATTCGGTATCTCTGTAAGCCACGTAACCAGGGGAAGTTGAGAATGCTATCAAGTGATCGGCTTGGAGCGGAAGATAACCCGAGCTTTCTACATTCGGATGTGATGGCAATCCTTCCGACGGGACAGATGGAAGCGACGATGCTGATGCATTTACGCTTGGTTCAGCTGAAACGAAATCAGTGCAAAATATTTCAAAAAGGCAGTCTGTGTAACTGTTTTGTCAACCACTATTGAGTTCATTTAGTTTTATAAACGTTATATAAGTTTGAACTTAAAATACTGTTATGGCGTATAACCACAGAGTAAACAATAGGACAGAACTGGAACTAGGCAGCGTATAGTACCCGCTATTTTAGTGCGTGTGAGCATAAAGTGACCAACAGCGCATGCTCGGCAAGTGTCTGAAACGTTCAAAATGGCTTGGATTTCTCGCTTAAACATTTTCGATTAATTGTAGCTGAATTTGAAGTGTGAATAATTCCACTCGAAATTAAGACCACTTAAAACCTCTAGAATTTACCTACATCGAGTGAACTGCGAAAATCAAAATCGATTTACCCTCACCAATTAATAAACTTGTTAAAGCCGCATTAAAACTTAATCCCCAAAAAAACGCTGCGCGAATCTTGGTTTCAAGCAACTTATCTGTTAAGGTGGTCCGCTACAAAAAAATCATGATTTATTCTGTTTTAAATATTTCAGGGGATGGGAACTTAAATGTATTCCTAAGCGATCCTGAATAATTTTTCCAAAAAAATATGCAAAGAATGCGAGAATGAAGGTGATTTAGAACATTATATATTTTTTTCTTTTATCTTGAAAAAATAAAAATCTTTTCACGACAAATTGCAAGATAAGTTGCTGTGAGTGAAAAAAGACTTGTAGGAATCTTCAATCACTATAGTTACCAAGACAAGACACACCCAAATGACCCAATGGTGGAAAATACACAATTTTCGTGAACACGAGAAGAAACTAGGTTTTAACGCTAGAACCAGGATTAGTTTTATTTAGTTCTAAATATTTTTTGTCTCGGAACTGAACGCGAAATAAATAAAACTTTTCCGGTATTTTTTCATTGTTCTATCGTATTGTTTTCTATAATTTATAAATATATGCAAAACTTTTTTCGTCGCTTTTCTTATAAGCAAACAAGAATTCTCATTCCCCCTACTTTCGTGCACGATAACTTAAAAAGTAGTAAAACTAACTTCATAAAATTTTCATGGTAGACCTTAAAGATAATTGGCATGGACGTGAACCTGAATGTGTTGTATTCCGTTCAGTCTAAGTAAGATAGCAACTGTTTCTTCCAGATAGATGATAGACGTTTTATATTTATAGCTTGTAAAACGCTAAATACTGCACAAGTTTTATTTATTCGAGCTTCAACTTCCAGACAAAAATATCCAGAACTATATAAAACCAATTCCGTCGTTATAGCGTTAAAACCTACAATCCTGGACAAAACAGTTAATAAAAGTATTCAAAATCTTAAAAAAATGCTTTGGTGCAACTTGAAGCAAGTGTTTCCCCCCGTTTACCCCCCAATCAATGTTGGATATCTTTTCAAGTTGCCTTTGCTTGCTAAACCTAACATTGCCAAGGGGATGGGGGGAGAATATCGCATGAAACAAGTAAGTTAATCGGAATGAAATGAAAATTGTACTTTACCAACGGTGTTATGAACAGGTTTTGTCCATGATTGTAGTCAGTTATGGTGTCTAAAAAAATTGGTCCATTTTCGACCATTGGGTGTATCTGGTCTGGGTAACTTAAGTGATTGAAGATCTTTCTTCACTTAGAGCAACTTGGATTGCAATATGGCATTAACAGATTTTCATATTTTTTTAAGTTAAAAAAAGAATTTCTGTAGTGAACCGCGACCACCTCAACATCGGAGGTCCTACCGTTGTGCGCCTCTTGAATTAAATTTCCGTGTTTTGATGGCCTGATCCAAACACGGTCTTGGGCCAATCAGAACACACGTTATATACATGTTATTTTAAAAGACATTTTACCTGCCAAAGCATTCGGCTCTCGGATTCCCATACTAACTTCCTTCCCTCGGCATTTTTGAATCATGAATATTTTTGGCTTCCCGACCAGTGAAGAATTAAATTTTCTAAATGGTGACAGTAATTCATCAACAGTCACAGATTGTCCTTTAGCGCCCATAATTCCATCGCGCACATCATCAGAACTATAACCATGGGATAATATCACTATAACGATACAGTCGACACCCCCGTCGATGCATATGCGCCAGTTTTTGCTTGCTAAATCACTGATGTACTGCTTCATCTCATCACATGAAAGGTTATTGAAACACTGAATATAAGAGAAACCAAGCCTTCCAAAACAGTCTGTAAGTTTTCCAACGTCTGTACCACTTCCTCGCCGATAAGCAAAATAATCTTCATTGCCAGCATAGTTGTCTGGAAGGGAAACAGCATGTTTAATGTCTATTTACACGATCATTTTGTCGATACACGATCGACATACAATCATTTACTGAACATATTGCTAGCAGGATTTCCACCACTTATTTGCGTATCACTATCTTCATAGGGGGTAGCAATAACAAAAAAGAGAAACAAAAGAGAACTTTTGAAAAGAATGCATAATTATATCCTATTAACACAGATCTCCCCCCCCCCCCTTCCTTGTGTTTGTGAATTGCGAGGAAATTCCCTTCCATTGTGGAAACCATGATTGCTAGTTTTGTAAAGAAATTCTCATCAATATCCCATAAAATTGCAGCAATATCGCACTATTCAACAAGTTTACTGTAAAAGTGATCTTTATGCATACTTATGATAAAAACAGGCCCTCTTCTTGCCATAGGATAAAATCTCACAGGACCACCATCTACGTTATCTGATAATCTGAATCGTTTTCCAGTAGAGTCAAAATCTGGCGGACCGTCCACTATATCTTTGGCGTCATTCTTCCTTTTATTTTTGCGAGAATTTCTTACTTGTTTTTCTGCCTTCGGTTTAGTCTTTTCGGTCTTGTTTTGACCTTTGCGTGGTCGCAATGTTGGAGGCATCCTAAAGAACTAAATTGTATCCATGTCAAATTCTCTTTCTTATATTGTCAGCGGCTGTCTTAAATTAAGATCAAGTGAAATGTAACGCTTCGGATTCTCCGCCTGTGACCAGCCATGCAGGCTAGAAATCAGTAATAAGGCCCTGCCAATATTGCGAAATCTCGTCATTATGAGTTAAACAGACATAATTTTGAAAATACTTATCAACGATTCGTTACTAAACATGCAACATCTTCAAAATGAAAGTTTATCGAAAGAAAATCGCCGTCAAAAACCGCCTGTGTAGCCGGGGCTACTGAGGGGAATGGGGGTCTGTGAATGGTCAATTGCCCATGCCTATTTAATAAATTATACTAGAAATACATGCATGCAGAAACCCCTCGCTTCGGTTTAAATGTGAAAAAAAGAAATTGAGAAAAGTGTGGAAATATTTTTCTGCACGTGGAAGCACTGTAGTCATAGCAACTCGCAACGGTCGTATATTTTTAAAGAATCAAAGTTTACCCTCATATTTTTGTGAAAAAATGGCAAAAATACGACAAGATTCTTACCTTTTTCTGGAAGTTAAGTTATTCATCTATAGTCAGTGTTATGGTAAATCATTTTAATTATTAATTACCATGAAATATAACATCAGACGTCTCATATAACTTCCGAAGTTTTATGTTACGCTTCGACTGGTTTTTGCACGGGAATGTTTTGATTTTCTTTTTTTTTGTCATTATGAAAACGGAGTTTATAAATGAAATTATAATGTCGTTTATCACATAACACATTCAGATTTATAGTGAAATACATTTGAGAATATTAAAGTTGTGTTTACCACAAAAGAATTACTTTTTTAAAGCTGTGGATGAAATATTATCAAGTGTAAAATCTTCCGACTGTATTATACACGGTGAATTCGGTCAAAAATTTGGTCTTGTTATTTGTTAAACCGTGAAAAGTCCTGACCACATTCAAGTTTCCTTCTAATTTAATTAAAAATACATATATTCTTTATTTTATGAAAACATAAAATTTATAAATTTCATCAAAATTTTGCAAACTTGACAGTTCATTTATTGACATTTGAAAAAACAAATTTTTGTCTCGACCAATCAAGAGCTTAGTGGTTCACTCTGGCGCATGCGCATAACGTAGAAGACTGTCCATGGCGTGAGGTCCATTGCATAATGGCGGACAACTTTGATTTCGCATTTGCACATCGTAGGTGTAAATATCCGAGCGGAATTAGTTCCCTCGCACGGTGCTCCGCACCGGCTCGGGGATTATATAATATAACATTTACAGTACGTGCGTGCTGATTGGTCAAGAAGCGTGTCTCTATAACTGTATAGAAACACGGGAATTTTCCCGCTGAACTTGACAAGCGAAACGATGTAATCAGAATTTGTAATTGAATCGAATTATAATATTTGCATAAAATATTTTTATTGAGTTATACTATAAAAGCTAAGAAATAAAAAACATTTTTTCTTGTGTTTCTATACAGTTATAGAAACACTTGTGGGAGTTTGGGAGAACTCGAAATAACGTGGAAAAACTTGCCCTACAGGCTCGTTCTCCCACTGATTTCTCGTTCTCTCAAACTCCCACGCGTGTTTCTATAACTGTATAAAAACACGGAAAATGTTTTCTATTTCTTAATTAAAATATACCATTTATAGCACGTCATTGCTGATTGGTCGAGAAGCGTGCTTCTATTTATCAATTAGACAACGAGTCCGAGTCGTCTATGAGCGAATAGTCAACGAAGGCGAAGCCTGAGTTGACTATTCGCTCATAGACAACGAAGGCGAGTTGTCTAATTGTTTTAGTATACACCCTGTACCTAGATATGTTAATTTCGAATCACGAAATTAATATCTAGTAAAACATCACGTATAGACAATGGTTGAGTAGCCAATCAGATTATCAGAATGTAGGATTTGTAATAGACAATAGTCGGGTGTATACTAAAACTGTATACGTAAAAACGCCAAACTTGTCAAGCGAAGTAATGTAATGAGAATTTGTAATTGAATCGAATTAAAATAATTTTTTAAAATCTTTTGATTTGACGGAAAATGTTTTCTATTTCTTAATCATTAAATTTTGCAATAGATGAACCAGATCGAGTACACAAAATATGCGCGCAGTCGACGCATATATGAGCCGCTGAAAGCCAAGAAGATGGTCACAAATATGTCACATTCAGTTACGAACACGAGTCAACCATGAATTTTTTATAAAGTTACCCTTATTGCTTCTTGACTTATCATGCAGGTAATAAGGAAATGAGCATTTAGTTTGCTAAGAAAAGCGACGAAAAACGAAAATAATTTGCATATACTTTTAAATTATGCAAATAATTTGAACAATACAATAGAACAATGAAATAATACAGGGTGAGTAAAAAAACTGACACCTTTGAAATTCAAATTAGCGGCGAACTTACGGCTGTAATATGACAATACCCATGTACAATCAACAAAAACGATTTGATAAAACTGTTCTTTTGTATTTACAGAGCTTAGAATGCATTTTAACTCCCAATGGGAACAAACTTTATGTTTTAGGTTAATTAATATGATATGCTTCGTATATCTATGAATTATTTTAAGCAACTTCTGTCACATTACAGCCGCTATGCGACTAATTTGAATTTAAAAGGTGTCAGTTTTTTTTTACTCACCCTGTAGTGTAAGCAAATCGACCCCCAAATTGTTTGCTCAGGGTAAAACCAATACTGTGCCATACAGTTTTGACACGACCCATCTGCAAGATCGCTCTGTTGGAAGCAGCTGGTACTTTGAACGATAAGTAGAGCACTATAATTCAATTTGTTTAACGAAGTACAATTGCCCGAATATTTCATACTATTAGCCAGGTCGAGTATTAGTAAAGGCTAATTGCCTTTAGAGGCCGGAATGTTAGTTAATTAATACAACATTGTGCTTTATTGTTCTATTGTATAGCTAATTGCCCTCAGGCTACACTGCATTGCTAGCCTTTGCCTGACATTAGGTCACACATTTTAATCTAAGTTTGACTGTCGCGCAGTGTAGACGTTTAATTACGTACAAATTATCCACCTTCGTGCTATCTACGACTATTGGAGTACATTAAGTGTAAACGAAATTCGAAGCTACACCTGCCACATCTCTATCTATGTCTGTGTCTATTCATCAATCTAAACTTTAGCTACAAGGATATACAGGAATATGTATATATACTCGATCGTGGCCGAATATATACCATATTCCAGTATAGTATTTTTTATCGTGTCTTAATTTAGACTAGTCTTACTGTCTTAATACGCCAATTCCTGAATTACGTATTTATTTCTTTGTGTTTGGAAATTTTGGCAAATTAATCGCATAAGTTGCATTAGTCTTGATCCCCCCCTGACGTTGGTGTCATTCATGGTCACTTCATGTGTACGTTCAGACAAGATCTTGAATGCATAAATCACCACTTATTATCATGATTGTTTATTATTTAGAATCGGGGTTTTCCCCAGTTGAATCTATTAATCAGGATTACCTACTTCTCTCTCACATTTATTCTACAATATTATTATTTTCTTTATGTATACTACCAAAGTGGGCTTGTGCCCATCCCATTTATTAATTTAAATGTTTAGCGAAACTATAACAAAATTTAACCAATGCAATGCATTCGTATTCTTTACAGCAATAATTCTAAATCATGCAATCACGAAATGATTGTAGGTCCCCAACCTCTGACATCCGCCTGGGATTGAATGAAAAATCCTAATGCTTACGTGGTGGTTGTAGGCGATCAAGTGTAAATTAGCCAAACTCAAAGCCTGACATGTTCTTAATATATAAACAATCAGGTTTGAAGGCTTTGCTGATTAAGCGATCTTACAAATCTTTTCGTTTTTATATAGCTATATATTTTCAAAAGGGATTGTTCCCTAAACCGGTTTGGCATATATAGATACTATTGTTGAATATGATTTTTCGAACACAACTGGGAAATTTACCTTTGTTGGCATTGTTGCACACATTTAGGCAAAGACATGAAAATAAAAGTTCAAAAGGTTGACGTATACACCTTAGATTGAATACAAGCTGATTGCATCTAAAATATATTCACAAATTTTTCACCTGTTTGTTAGTTACCGTCGTCTGTGTCAGTCAACTTGTGTAGGACAGAATCTTTCAGTTTTGTGTTTATCAAACCCAATGAAAAACTTGTTATTTTGCGACTATATCTGTTCCTGATAGTGACTTCTTTCTGGTTCAAATTTCAGACGGTCGAATACATTTATACACATTGTAGTTGCAGGGGTTATTTCCGGTTCCTGTCGTGATTATAAATCACTTAGGTGAATACTGAAAAAGACGCTATCTGATATCTTTATTGGCTACGTTTTTTTACTTAATGTAAATGATTACGATGTCATCATTAGTGTGGTTTCCACGCAATGTTTATCTTGGTTTATTGATATGACTCCGTTCATTTCAGTGCAGTAACTAATAACAGTAACTATAAACTATTGCAGTTTAGTTTGTGCTTCGTCATCCTTTCTTTGTGAAGGTTGACCCTTGGTAACCTTTATTGTTTCATGCGAATAGCGAAAGATTCACGGTAAAACACCCAATTCATACATGCATATTACCAGGAATCGGCATTATGCCCACGTTCTAGTTTTTTACGGTAAAATAGGTTATCAGTTATTGCATTTAACAGTTCCTTTTAGACACCTTTTGCCAAATATTTCAGGTTACAATTCAAATCTAAAATCCCCTTATTAAAGTCATTAAACTATACACTAGGAACCCGGCGGGGTTTTCCCGTACTCAAAACTGCATGGTGGAATTGCATTTCAAAGAGTGGTGTTTACCCACAACCTAGCTTTTCTTTTCAGGTAAAATACCTAATATTATAATACACAATAACATAGCATGACCACAACCCTGTATGAACACTGTACCACCAAGATATCACGCGGCAGAATCGAAATAAACAGACCTTTCTTGGCGGTTGATGTTTATCCATTAGGATTCCTTGGATATTCCTTTAATGCTGGCTTCGTTTTTGATAATTGCTTCAGTCCAGTGTAGCATCAAATCTGTACATAACACTATTACAGTACATAACACTATTACAATATGAAATGTGGAATCAAATAACAGATAAAACAATGGAAGAGTTTAAAATATTATCAGAACTGGAAGAATTAACGGTGAAAAGGAACAACTCGTTTATAATCCTTGAAATGGTAGGAGTCTATTTTGTTTATTTCGAGGTTTATTTCGTATTTGCTGTACGAATACATTTTATGACCTTGGTACAGTATGTCGTTTTGCTCGGTTTTGCGAAGACGTGACCCACTATTTAAGGCTTTACATCATCGTTTTAACTTCAAAAAGAGTTCTTAAAAGTGTAATTCGGAGTTTTAATATAACAAATATCATTTAAAGGTTATAGAGTCGACTGCAATAACTGCATGAATTTAATAATCGAAAAACAACATTCGACGTTCACTGCTTGGTTATTTATATTATTTGTGCTGTTTTGATGTTTTGAAGGTTTAGCTATAATGAATTATTAACTCTCACTTAAACTGTGAAATCTATAACTTAATGCAACGGAAAGCAGCAGAAAAACGGGTGATTTCACTTCATCTTTACGACTGTGTTTGTTTCCGAAAAATTTGAAACATCAGCTATCGGCTTTACATTTAGGACATTTCATAATATTGAAGGTTAGGTCTGGCTAGCTCAGGAAATATTTTGCTTCGTTTGAAATGGCGAGGGTTTGCTGCATGCATGTATTTCTAGTTAATTATATTAATTCAATCATGAATTATTAACCTTCTACACAATCGGCCTGCTCAGGTCAGTGAAATTAGTTTCCAGTCTTCAAATGACATCAAAATGTCATTTCCTATTAGTTAGTTGTCATAGTTTTTCAATGCTGACGTAGTGGAAGGAACTGGGACGCCGGAACAGAAGGGAAAGCAGGGAAAACTGATGTAGCTTTCTTCTTGCCTTTTACTAGGAAGGAAAAGGACGTCAAACAAGTATTATCTGTAAAAAGTATTGCGCTGGAACGCGCTAAAAACAGCTTTCGAAAAATCTTGGAATGCAACCATGCACCAGCTCAAGAATAGCACAATCGTCTGGTAAAAAAACTCCAATGCAGACACCAGAATCATGTAACAACAGACCGAAAAACGAGAAAAATTTTTTAACACTTTTTAGTTTGCATAATTCTAAAAGTTCCTATCCACTAGAACCCCCCCCCCCTTCCCTTCCCTTCTTTCCTCGCATCGTCCTGGCGTACTTGATAGGGAAGGGGGACTGTAAATAGAACTTGTAAATAGTATAATTATACCGCATTCTCTCTATTTAGTTCTCCCTCCCAAATGCCCCCCTTTGAAGAATAAATCAATTAAGCGCCCCCCCTCCCCCATCTATTAAGATCGTCCCCCTCGTGTATTCAGAAGTCTCCTTATATTCGACTTTTTATTTAAAGTAATTTGTTTTTGATTTTTTGATCCATAATTGCCAATTCAATTTTATGTGCAGTAGTACTCGGCGTAGTAGTTCCTTATGTTGCACATCTATAAGTTTCTTATTGGTCGAATAAGCAAAATAGTGTCCCGGGACCACCAGTCCATCTTCAAGAAACGTTGCTCCGGTCGGTGAGAATTGTAAGGATCACCCACCACGTTCCAAAAATTTAGAAACGAAATTTTAATGGGCAAATGCATGCCCACAATTATTTCTTCTGGGGCAGTTGAGATCAATACAACGGTATCAATTTGCGAACGCCAATTGCAAAGTCGTCGAAAATCTTTACTTCTTCCCTTCTATCATGTTTGCACGCGAGCTTCTTTCTATCTCAGGCTTCCAGACTTTCTTGTAGATGTGACACCCACGAGCCACAGTTTCGAATTTGCAATAGTTTGACCAAGGATATTCCTTGAACTCTTGCCAATCGGATCGGCATACTGATTTGAGTTTTGATACAATGAAACTAAAACTATCCCTTTTGCAAATTATCGGGAAAAACGATCCGTTACTTCGTTACTATGCAAACAAAAAAAATCCAATCAGGTGCGATTTGCATCTGTGATTGATTTCTTGAAAATCTGTTCAGGCTATAACGCAAGTTCATATTGTATAATCGCTTGTAAGTGCATAGCTTGATAAAAAAAACCTAGAAATTCCAAATCGTTTATGTAAGAAGACCGGTTGAAATCAACATCTCATAAAGTGATCAAGTATGTGGATATTCTACCGATTTGAATTTGGAAACCTCCACTTTGCTGAAGCCAGCTCGATCCATGCAGCATCCAAGAAGTACAAGATTGAGGGGAAAAGTATTCTATATTGGAAAACAAAAAGGGAGAATCTGAACAGCTCAAAAAAAGTTCGAGTTGGAAAAGGCAACGACTGGATGGTGGCGGGAGACATATCACTTCGGATAAATTGGAAGAAGACTTGTTGGTGTGGATGGTTGAGAGACGCAGCACAGGAATACGAGTGTGACGAAAATTTGTCAAGGTTATAGCCACAAAACTGCAGGAAGAAATGGAAAAAGAAGCCCGAACATCATTGCACTAAACTTTAGCGACGTACGTATGGCTTGAAAAGTTTAAAAAAAGAAACGGGTTCACGGTAAGACGGTGTACAACTATAGCTCGAAAAGGATTCGATCAAATTGTTGACAAACTAATAATGTGCATACATTATTGTGGAACGATATGATCTGAAATACTTCAATTGAAAAACGAGTAACACACACAGTAAATCTTACTAAATTCCCCGATTACTAAAAAAAGAAAATATAGCGGCCGACGGCACCAAGAAGCCATTCATTATGTTTAAAGGGGCGAAGCGCGAGGTAAAAAAAAGCTGAATGAACGGTTTAAAAATAAGTTTATTCTAACAAGCAGTGACAACGGGTGGATAGGTGAACCATTGACGGAGTAATTCTTTTGCAACGTGATACGCGATAACTTTTTCTTTCGGTGGAGGTCACCTGTTTGCATGGGATGCATTTAGCTGCCACCTAACACCTGCCGTGAATAACATTCTAAACCAGGGTAAAGTTAACGGCGTCATAGTCCCTGGCGGTTAAACAAAATACATCTAAGCGGCAGACATAAGCTGGAATAAACTAATGAAGGAGTATTAAAAGAAATGTATGATCTTTGGCTGTCAGTGCATGAACATGAAGACAAAAAATTGTTGGATGGGTTTTGGAAGTTTGAAAAAGTTACCAACAGAAACATCCCCATTAGATGCATGAGGATGATGAAATACATTGAAGCGTAACTGTTGGAACTGTTGTACTTGCACTTCAACATTTTAAAACTTGCTGTTGTGTTGATGTGTATTTTGTTTTCCTATAATACTATGAACGTATTAATAAGCTTACATTTTGCGAAAAATTGTCTGAGATTTTATGGATAACTCTAAATAAGCCTCCCCCTCAATTAAACCCTCCCTCTTTAATAACCCCCCCTCCAAAGAGTCTGGAAAGAATAAGCCCTCGGGGGCTTAATAGAGAGAATGCTATATATACAAAAACCTCCTCAGCGCCCTCCTCTACATGTAGATTGAGAAACGACTAAAACTGATGATGGCGTGAAAATGATATCATAATTTTCCCTTCTAAAAAACGTAGAACGCCATTCACCCTTATGCACCATTTTCACGTCCTGTAGCAGTAACGTCTGATGTTTCATTTCGACAAACACAGTTTTAGAGTAAGAAATAAAACGCCCCAATTGTGAGGTCCAGAGATCAACAGAGATCAGTGTTATGCAGCAGCTGCTTACTTATTGTTAATAGGAAAACTGAACCAGGGATCATCTTCCGATACAAGGTACTAAACCCCTAGTTAAAGCTCCCGCCGAACCCAGCGTCGAGTTATCATCTTCGTAAATTTCGGATGCTTTTTTCGGTTTCCTGACCATGCTAAATTAACGTGACATGGCACAAGGACACTTTAGAATTAATACAAGATAAATATACGAAAACCCGACCCTCGGACAAAAACTTTTGGAATTATTCATTTTCTTTAGAAGACATGCACATCCCCAGCTGTTATGAAATGCTTGTTTCAACGACAGCTGTGCACAATTTTATTCGAAATGAAACGTTTAGAATGTTTGCATGTACCTGAGGTCGAAAACGAAGACAAAAACATCTCAAATCATCTCAATTTTTATCTGAAAGTCGTACATAAAACCACATTTCGATGATAAACTAAGTATTCCACATTTCGTACTTGTTGCTCGTTAATTATTGATAAACTACAAAACGTCCACGGCAAATTAAT